CTTAGTGAGTTCAAGAACAGCCCGGACTACATAGTGAGACCCTGCCTCAAAAATAATAAACAGGGCTGGGGATTTAGCTCAGTGGTCCCAGCACCTGCCTCAAAAGCTTAAGGTCCTGAGTTCGATCCCCGGGACCAAAAACAAAACAAAAACAACCCCAGGGGATCAGATCTTCAAAGGAGGCCGAGAGAAGGCCTCAGGGAAGCAGGGGCGACCAGGTCTTGGTCCCAGGCCCCCAGGTCCCCAGCCTGTGCCGTGCTCCTGACTCCCTGAAGCCCATTGACTGACTGGGATGACATCCACTTAGAAATATCCAGACGGACTTCCCAGCCCTGCTGTGCGTCACATACCACTGTGCATATCTGAAATATTTTTCTAATAATACAAATAATATAGGCTCAACGGAAAGCCGGAGACCTGGGAAATGCGCCAAAGAAAAAGAATGTAAATCTGGCCAGGCAAAAATAACTAACATTGACATATTAATAGTGACATTCCTTCCAGTCTGTTACATACTCATGTATGCATTTTTCTCTCAAAATAGTGTAATACTATATGTACTATTTTATAGTTAACTTTCAAAATAGCACTTTTCCAAACAAAATTTAATATGATCCAAGCAATTATTCAAACTGGCTGTAAGCCAGGATGATAAGGCTGGAAACCTTGGGAAAAATACTTCAATCTCCTTGGTGTCCTTGTTTGAAAAAATGCAGAATTTCTTTCCAACTCTAAAAGTCATTCTTAGCTGGGCATGGTGGCAAATACCTGTAACCTCAACATGGAGCAGGAGGATTGCAAGTTCAACCCCACCCTGGGAAACTTAGCAAGACTGTCTCCAAATGAAAAACAGAAAGGGCTGAGGATGTAGCTCAATCCTCAGTACCACCAAAAAGATAAAAAGAAGAAAGAGAAAAGGTGTTCTCCTGCCAAAGCTTGTTTTCCATGAAATCTTATCACCATGATACACACCAAGGACTCGATGTAGCAGTCTCTGTTTCTACCTACCCTTCGTTTGCACATATTTTCTTTTTTGTTGGAACAGCTGGACTTATGAGGGTGCATGTCCTCCAGGTTCACCCAATTGTAACATATGTCAGCCCTTTCTTGTTTTTGTTTTTGGTACTGGGGATCGAACTCTGGTCCTTGTACTTGCGCAGCAGGCGGCGAAACCACTGAGCTAAATCCCCGGCCCTGTCAGCCCTTTCTTTTTGGGACTGTGTAATATTCCACTGTGTGGATATACCACGTTATCCATGCATTTGTTGATGGGCACTTGACTTGCATCCATGTTTTAGCTAAATGAACAATGCTAGTATGAACACAGGTGTACAAAAAAACTGTTCAAGTCCCTGCTTTTCTCTCTTTTGGGTATACACCCAGAAGTGAAATTCCCAGGTCATGTGGTAATTCTGTTTGATATCTGAGGGGCAGTTGTACTGTTTTCCTCATGACTGTGCCTTCCTACATTCTCCCCAACAGTGCATAGGACTCCTGACCTCATGTCCCTCTTGACACTTGTTATTTTCTGGAGGTTTTTTAACCTTAAACTTTTAGAAGCAGAAATTAACTTTTAAAAATTGACCCTAAGAAGGGCTGGGGATGCTGCTCTGCAGTACAGCATTTTCCCAGCATTAGTGAAGCCTTAGATTCCACCCCCAGCACCACACACACACACACACACACACACAAAAGGATTAAAATTTTAATCCTGAGAAGCCAGGTGTGGTGGCACACACCTGTAATCCCAGCACTCAGAGGCTGAGGCAGGAGATTGCCATGAGTTTGAGGCCAGGCTGAGCTACATAGTGAGTTCAAGCCCAGACTGAACTATATAAAGAGACCCTGTCTCAAAAAATACAATAACTGGGCCGGGGGTTTAGCTCAGTGGTTTCGTCACCGCTGCGCAAGCACAAGGACCCAAGTTCAATCCCTGGTACCAAAAAACAACAACAACAACAACAACAATGACAAACCCAAACAAACAAAACCTCAACAAAATAAAACAAACAAACAAAAAAAAATTAAAAATGTATCCTAGGAGGAATATACATAATGGTGATGTTTTACACAATGCTGATTCGGCAGTATATAAATAGGAAGTGGAAACACTCTAACAGTGAGGAAACAGATTAGTGTGTACCTTTACAATAAAATACTATGTAACCCAGGGCCATACACGCTAAGCACGCACCCTACCACTGTGTTCCCCAATCTCCAGGGTGTGACCCTTAAAATGAGTCCCAATGGAAGAGTCCAAAAAGAGGGAACTCAGACAGGTGTTGTAGCGCATGCCTGTAACCTCAGCACTCTGGGAGGCTGAGTCAGGAGAATCACAAGTTGAAACCCAGCCTAGACAATTTAGCAACTTAGCAAGACCCTGTCTTAACATTTTAAAAAAATTTTTAAAAGGGGGCGGAGATGTAGCTCCAGATGAGCTGCCAGATCAAGGTTGGTTTGACATGAGCAGCACATCCAGCCCAGGACCTTTTTGATGCCCCAAGCTCCACATTCTCTACACAAAACATAATTCTCCTCTCTTCATTCTTTCTTTTTTCATTTTGAGGCAGGCTCTCACTAAATGGCTAAATTGCCCAGGCTGGGCTCTATCTTGAAATCCTCCTGCCTCAGCCTCCCAGAGTGCTGGGATTATACATGTGCACCAGATGCCTGAGTCAGTATCTTTCTTTTTTTTTTGAGATGGGTCTCATTATTAGCCCAGGCTGGCCTCGAACTTGCTACAATCCTCCTGCCTCAGCCTCCGGAGTGCTGGAACCCCAGGCGAGCACCACCACACCCGACTCAATGTCCTTTTATTAATGAAAATTTCTAAATTTGTATCCACAGCCCAGAGTTCTTCCAATCTCCAGATAACTAAATTCAGCTCCCTTCCTGACAGCGGCACTTGGCGTCTCAAAGGCATCACCATCTGTGAAGTTAAACTCTGAATTCTCCACCAGAGGAGCTCATCCTCCCCTCTTGCAAAATCTCAGGAAATGGGATTAGCTGCCGCCCACTCACTGAAGTCAGAAACCTGCGAATCAGCCCTAAATCACACACACACACACACACACACCCGTAGCAAACCCACCAGCACACTCGGCTGCTTCCGACCTTCACACCTCCACACCTCTCTAGCTCCTCTACACAGACCTGCAACATCCCCTAATGCCCCCTTCTACTGCCACCCCTCGTCCATTCCCGAGAGAAAGCCAGGTGGATCAGACCCGACCTCTGTGGTTCACAGACTTCCTGACCTCCAAGTCACTCGGGATAAACTAAATTCCTTCCGCTCAGGACTGCTTCGTCCATGAGACGCTCCTGGCCGCAAGTTGGAACCTTGCCAAGGGGTTATAAAAATTGTCTGAGCCAAGAGAAAAAAGAATTGGGTTCCAAACTGATGCAAGGTCAAGCCCGGCACAGCTGTAATCCAGGACCCCAGAGGCCGAGGCAGGAGGATCACCAGGAACTCACGGCCAGCCTTGGCTACACAGTGAGTTCAAGGCCAGCTTGAACTATATAGTGAGACCCTGCTTCAAAAAACCAAATAAACTTCGGCTATCAAGAAATCAGGGGCAGGGGATTTACCTCAGTGGTTCCAGCGCCTGCCTCGAAAGCACAAGGTCCCGAGTTCGATCTCCGGTACCAAAAAAATAAAAAAGAAGAAGATAGGGCCGGGGATTTAGCTCAGTGGTTTTGCTGCCTGCTGCGCAAGCGTAAGAATCTGAGTTTGATCCCCGGTACCAAAAAAAGTTAAAAGTGTACAAAGTTGCTTTGTTACAGTAAAGATACGCGTGTACACAAAACCAAAAACGAAAGTAGAATCGCCCCTGCTGCTTCTCTCTGTCCTTCTGACCAGCTCGTTCCCCTCCATTCACACTAGATGTCCTCCAGAGCCGGCCATCCGAGGTCGCCCCTCCACACACCTCTGTTACTCCCTGTCAACACCCTGCTCCGCCATCTGCAGATGCTTTGTTTAATTCCTCATTCCCGTCAGACTAACAAGCTCTGCGAAGGCGAGAAACTTCTGCGTCCTTTTCCCGATGGATCCTCAGGGCCTGTTCCAGGCCGGGCCCAGTGCAATCTTCTCAAATTGTTACCCAACCATAAATAAACGAAGGAGAACTCATCTCCCAGGGAGGAGGCCAAGCTAGGAAGATTTGCCTTGGACTCCACCTTGGGAGGCTTGGGAGCCCTCAGCTTCCCGTGATCCTAGGCAGTCAGAGGTTTTTAAAAAGTTTGGAAGTTGGGCCGGGGATTTAGCTCAGTGGTTTCGCCGCCTGCTGCGCAAGCGCAAAGACCCGAAAAATTGGCTCAAAACTGGAAGGAAAAGGAAATGGAACAGACGTGTGGCTCAGCGAAGTGTGAGTTCTTGGTTCGCACCTGCCCTCCCCGAGAGACGGTGACGGTGACGGCCCAGCCCCTTCCTGTGGGCTGGGTGCTAAGGGTGCCTGTGGCCTGGGCTCCGGGTGCAGAACCTCACCCTCGTTGACTATTCATGAGAAGGAGCTCACTATGGGAGCCTGGTGTTAATATTCATGAGAGGGCGGGGCCTCCTTCCCGCTGGGGCTCCTGGGAGGGCTCTAAATTATCTTTGAAGGAGGAGAGTACCACAGAGCCGAGATTTGAAGGGGCAGGGCCGCCTTCCCGCGAGGGTTCCCTGGAGGTCTTCTAAATTAGCCCAGAAGGAGAGGGTCACCACAGAGCCCGGGTGTTTATTATTCATGAAGGGGCGGAGCCTTCCTCCCACTGGGGCTCCTGGGGCTCCTGGGAGAGCGCTAAAAGGTATTCCCAAAGGAGAAGGGCACCACAGAACAGAGGTTTTTACTATTCATGAGGGGGCGTGGCGCCCCCCCCCCGCTAGGGCTCTTGGGAGGGCTCTATATTATCCCAGAGGAGAAGGGTACCACAGAGTTGAAGGCTTTAGTATTCATGAGGGGGCGTGGCTCCCTCCCGCTGGGGCTCCTGGGAAGATTCTAAAGCATTCTTGAGGCCCGGGGTCGGCGTTCGCGAGCGGGAAGCAAGCGGAGCCTAGCGGAGCCTAACCCTCCTCTTCCCGGCGGGAAAACAGGAAATATTTTCTCTTTTAAACATTAAGAAATTTGAAGATGAGGCAAAACGTCTAAATCTCACTTTCCTGTGATACCTTAGCCGGAAAACTGTCAAAGTCTGTGGTAAAGAGAGCCCCTCCCCCGTACTTTCTTGTGGAAATAATTTCTTTTCCTGGACTGAAGGGGTACAGGATTTGATTCTCCAATTGGCCAATTTTTTGGTGTATGGTCTCCCTACATTACTGTTTAGAGGTTTTGGGGAGGCTCCTCAAAGAGCTTTGCTAGGTTAAACAACAAATTCTGACGGTTTGTTCTTGGGGTCCCCCAAGGACCCGCAAAACCTTTCACCCCTGGCCAAAAATTAGAGAAACGGGCCAGGGACATGGAAACCACTTTATTGTTATTTTGGTCTGTGAATCCCGTTCTACAGAGGGACAAGAGCACACCAGACATCATTTGGGGCGACATTGTCAAGGATTTTCAGAAAAGCCTGTTCTTGCCCCCCAAAAGGTCCAGGGCTGAGTAAAGAAAACAAGGAGTTGGAAGAGGAGACTTTAAGTTTTAAAATACTTGGACCCATTATTTTTTAAATCATTGCATCAGTTTAACCGTGTCCTTCATGAGTGATACTAAGGTCCCCTAGGACAGGGTCAGGTTTAGGGGGTCTCTGAGGAGACCAGGACTCGAACTTTAACCATGAGGCCAGATTTATATTTTATTATCATGAAAATGCTTTAAAATTCCCACCTTAAAAAGTTACACACTGAACTAGGGTTCTTGTATTGGTAGAAATACAGACAGCCATTAAAATATATATACTTGTAGTTTATTGGCATGAAAAGAATTCATTGGAAAAAAACAGATTACAAAATATGAAGTTATCACTGCTTTTTTTCCCTTTTCTTTTCTGATACTGGGAACTCAGAACCTTGCACTTGCCAGGCAGGTGTGGTGCCACTGAGCTACATCCCCAACCCTCACCGCTTTTTGTTAAAAGAGAAATATTATGTGAAATTCCAGAATGATATAAACACCAAAATGTTTATAAATTAATTTAATTGTATTTTTAAAACTTTTGGCATGTCATTAGTGTAGTTTTAGTGACTATTTTTAAAATATCTAGCCAGTCATGGTAGCACACACCTGTAATCCAGCACTCAGGAGGCTGAAGCAGAAGGACTGCAGTGAGTTTGAGGCCAACCTGGAATATTTAGTGTTTGTAAGGCTAGCCTGAACTACATAGCTGAGAGTCTGTCTCAAAAAACAAAAGCAAGGGGCTGAGGATTTAGCTCAGTGGTTCTGGCGCCTGCCTCACAAACCCAAGGTTCCAAATTCAATCCC